ATGAGGAAAATAGGCAGCAGCATTATGTGTGCTACCTGGATTTGTACAAAAATAAAGGTGGGATAGAAATCAAATACATGCATGCATATATACATACATCTCTAGGCAAAGAATGAGAAACAAGGCTCTGTGGATAATACTGAATTGCACCTCCCAGCATCCATCACTATTGGTCAAGCTAACAGGCTCCTGGGAGTTTTATTTCAGCATTGTCTGGAGGACACAGTTCTATATTCCTGCCTTGAAAAGATTCTAAATAAAGAAGGAAGCAGTGAGGGTTACACGAAAATAGGATGTTAACTGCAAATTCTGCATTCTTCTACCTCATCACAGATGGAATGGATGCTGCAAGAAAGGAGAGGAAACTTTCTGTACAAGTAAAAGCTCCCTTCCTCAGAGGATTATGACAGCTTGCTATCAGTGATGCTAAACATCCAGACACCATGCTAATTAAATAAAAATATACCAGTGAGTAACTGAAGCACTGTTTTCCAATCTTGAACAGATGACTGTCAGACAAAGTGAGATATTAATATAATTTATATAAGAGGCTTATATATGAACATTTTAAGGATTAGTGATCCAGTTGAAAAGAAATATGACTTTAATATACCTGACCTTAGACTTTTGCAAATGACACTTCTAAACATTAAATCATCTGCCATTCAAATGTTATAACTATACCAATTCCCTCACACATTTCATTTACTGTATGATTAAAAAAAGGAGGGGAAAGACATGATACCCCTTCCAGTCGTGTCACATTATCTGTGTGTGAAATATTAGATATTGTCACTGTTGTCCTATGTGACTAATCACTCTTCATACTTTTATTTAGAAACTCTTACTTTCTTCTCTCATGATGTGATAACAAAGATAAAGTCTTCTTCAGGCTGAGATCAACTCCTGATGAGTTCATAAACCCAGCCATGCAGTTTTCTTGGCAACAGTACAGAAGAGATTTGCCATTTCTTTCTTCCAGAATGTTTTTTTTAAATATCCCAGGCTACAGTGCTTCCAAGCCTACAACTTCCAAAAGTGGGGAACTACCAGCTCTTTTCCCAGCAAGATCAAATTAGTTACACTGATTGTAGTAGGTGAATGTGGTCCTGGAGATAACTTGGTGCCAAGCCATAAATTTATATTAAGGAGGAGGAGGAACAACCACCATCCATATCAATATCTGGAGTTCAGATTTAGCTAGTATGATAGTGTTGTGCAATGTAAACATGTTTGCAACTACTAATTAAATGTCCCTGTCCTCACTAATTTCAAGGAAGTAAAAGCAAGCTTTATTCAGTAGAGGTTATGCAGCACTTCAGATTCAAAGCAAAAAAAGTGTGTGGGCACACATATAGCACCTTTCAGCAACTCCTTAAACCAAACATGTCTTTTCCTGGGATCACACCACAGCTGAGAAGGGCAGCCATATAAATCACAAAAAACTGCAGCTGTTTTAAATTGAAAGATTCTATGTGAGCCATCCCACATGCTCCAAAGCTCCTTTTTGCCCTTTGAATTCAAAATGCTATACACACGATTACACAGTAAACCTAACTGAAAAAATAGTGAAGGGAAGTTACCATGGTTGAAGCTAGTGGTTAATTCTATTAGTTTCTGCCTGTTCGAACCTAGGGGGGGATTGTGGGGGTGGGAGTGGGATAGCAAAAGGAAGCACTGTCTTGTGCAACATGTGAACAAGCTAGCTTGTAAAACATCAGATATACACTAATATATAAGCAAATCACAAACAATTTAAAGTAACAAATAATTTAAATTCAATTACATCAAGTTACATCTACTTTTCTTTTGAATGCAGATTGATACCTCTTTAGAAATAGTACAAATGGAAAAGTCCATGTTTAATATACACTGAAGAAAAGAAGAAATGGAAAACTAACAGTGCAATCTTATGTTCATCTGATCAAGATAACATAAGGATGAGTCTTAGCAAGCACACACAAATGAATGAATCCTGTTTAAGCACTATGTGACACAAACAATGTTTAAGTCTCTATTATTTAGCAGCAGGCATTCCATTAAACTTCAGCAGGAGGAGACAAGAGGAAAGGTTTTAGCAAAAATGAATTCCAGCAGGCTTAAACTATTTTTATTCATTCTATAGGTGATTGTAAAAAAAACCTGTTTCTACACTTCAGTTTCTTTTTCCCCTCTTTCCTTCTAATCTCTTTCCCCTTTTATATTGTACCTTTAAACCTGCAACCCTCTTAGTAGGGACTTCCTTTTTTCATGATTAAATAAAGTGTTTTCACCTGAAGAATGAGGTGATAAAAGTATAATTTATTTAAATTACTAGGCTGCAATCCTATGTATAGATTTTTACTAGAACTAAGTCCAGCTGCACTTGGTGGACTCATTTTTGAACAGTCATTCACAGGACTGAACTATTGAAGGCTACCAATTATAAGTAAGCATGTTCCACCAATTAACTTTGGGTGTGGGTATGCTTTTGAGTCAGGCTTGACTCCCGGCAACTGCAAGGACAAGTCTACATTATGTAGTTTTCTTGCCAATGATTTTTCAAAGTGGTTTGTTGTTGCTTTCTTCCTCAGGTTGAGAGAGAATGACTGGCCCATCTAGCTGGCTTTGTGCCTAAGGCAGGATTTTCCCAATTTCTAGGCTAGTGCCTTTAACCACTACGCCAAAATGACTCTCACCAATAATTTGAAAATAAGCATTTAAGTTATGTGTGGACCATTACATTGAAAACCAGGAAGAAGCATTAATTACACTTAAATTATGTCATTTCCAAGGCAATGTACTAGCAATATAATGTATATACATAAGAATAGTCAACAATTATGATTTTTATCTATTTCTACTGATTAAATACTGGGAAATCATATTTTGAAAAAATCCTGAACACATGTCAAAATATCACAAGTAAAAATTAGGAAGATGGAAATGTTCTTATTTAATAGCAACCATGAAGAGTGAGCATGCTCAGTGAACAGGAAACATGTCTGGGGTGTAGAGAAGGAAAACTTGAATTAAGTAACTCAGAACTGTGGGCTGATGATAAACAGGAGCACTCTACTTTACAACATTTTGAAATTCTTTGTATTTATATAACACTGCTAAGTGTTCATATTGTTTTAAATATGCCTTGGAAGTTGAAGCTGGGAGAAGTGTAACACGGTAAGAGTGCAGGATTAAACAGGGCAGACCTGGATTCAAATACCTCTCAGCCACAAGGTTTAGTAATTTACCATGCATAATTCACCCCCTCTTGCATTAGCCTATAAGCCAAAAATGGTTTATAGAAGTATAAGAAAGTATAGGGACTTTGAAAAAGGGTGGGATACTTTTGGGTTAAGTGATAATTTTGTTACCATAATTTAGATTATGGAGAGCCAGTTTGGTCTAATGGTTAATGCATAAGGCTAGAAACCAGGAGACTGTGAGTTCTAGTCTCACCTTAGGTATGAAAGCTGGCTGGGTAACTTTGGGCCAATCACTCTCTCTCAGCCCACGACGTCAGGCTCGGGCAACAAGCTGGTTGGTCCATTCCTGTTGCAACTAATGGAACATCATTTGGTTGATCTGAAAAAAAGCAGACCCTGCATGTGTGGGAAAAATGCTAGGAAGAAATTAAATACCTAGAGTCTTATTTAAAATTTTCTGCTAATTTCCTTAGCACAGTGTTTCTTAAACTTTGTGCTTTCAGGACCCCTTCCCACTTTTAAAAATTATGGAGGACCCCAAAACAGCTTTTGCTTGTATGGGTTATATTTATCAATATTGCTGTATTAAAAATTAAATTTGATACATTTGCTGCCACTACCACTTCTCATGATTGTTTGATGGGATTTTAATATTGTATTATTTTTCAGCATAGGCTGGCAAATAATTTTGATTTTGCAGACCCCTGAGAGGATCTTGGGGCTAGGACCACACTTTAAGAAACACTGCCTTAGGCTACATCAGAGCTTTCTCCTAATATATTAACTGTCAGGGAAGAAAGAGAAGTAGTTCCCAGAGTTTCTCTGCAGAGTTCAAGCCTGTGTTCATTATGTTTATGACAGCACAGCAAAACTTGGATGATGCTATAAATCTCTAGTGAGGAAATGACCTGAAAATCTGTCACCATCTTTTCATTTATATCAAAGGGCAACCATTCCATCCTCCTCCTGAGCTATTTCTTTTCTCTCTCTCCTCTTCTTTCCATCCTATCCCTTTCCCAACCTTTTCTGTCAAGTCTAAGACCACAAGGCAGAATCTCCTGAGGGAGACTGAGATTTTGCCTTTTTTTTTGGCAAAAAAAAAAAGCATGAAAGCCGGCTGGGTGACTTTGGACCAGTCGCTGTCTCTCAGCCCAATTCACCTCACAAGTTTGTTATTGTGGGGAACATAGGAGGAGGGAGGAGTATTAGGTATTTTCGCCGCCTTGAGTTATTTATAAAAATAATAAAGGCGGGATAAAAACATCTAAAAAAACCCGGTGAGAGTTAAGATAGTTCTAAAGAAAAAACGAAAACCCTAAGTGCTGCACCGTCCTCTGCCCCACCAAATCAGCGCTCATGTATTGCTAACTTTATTTTTCACGGGGCGAAATTAATACGCCAAAAGGAAGCAAAGAAAAATAACCAAGCCAAGGTTTAGCTTTTGGTCACCGCCGCCCCAGCGGGGGCACCCGCTGAATTCTCACGGCCGGTTTATGTTTAAAAAGCGCCTTGTGAAACGAAGACGAAAAGAGAGCGAGCTCTTGCCATTTGCGCGTGGCTTCCAGAATGAAAATAAAATTAGCTCCTACTTGAAAAAGGAAACTGAATAGCAAGAGATGAGGCGCGAGGAAAGCGGCGAGCCGAGCTCGCAGCCAGTCAATGGTTCCCAGGGAGGCGAAGGGCGTTCACCTGAGGCAGCCCCGCCGCGGCGCTTCCTCGGCACGTGGCGAAGAACCAAGCCGGGAAAGCAGCCGTGGCTGGAAGTGAGCGGGCCTGCGCACTTCGTCCCGGAGCGGGCGGGAGTTCCGGGTCTCGGAGACCGGAGGGACCAAGACCAGGGCCGGGACCGACGGCCGTCTCTCTCTCCTTCCCTCCCTCCTTCCCGGCGCGGCGCCGTGTGTTGTAGCGCAGGGTGAAGCTTCTGGGAAGCCTTACGCCTCATAAACGGTATAAACTGCCGAGTTTGTTTGTGGGCAGGCCGCTGGGCGTTCGAGCCAGTCAGATCGTTTTATCGGAGCTGGCGGTTCGGCTAAGATCAAGGCAGTCTCTCCGTCAGCGGCCATTTCCCCTCAAACTTTTCAATGGTCTGAGAGGTCCCGGGCCTGCTTCCGTCGTTTTTTGCTAAGAGCGTTTTGGTTATGAAGTCATAAAATTTCTCGTTGGGGAGCGCCTTTATTGACCAGTACTGAGCGAAACCACTCCAGTCTGCAACAGTTGCAAAGAAGTCCACATTCCCCTAAACGTTAAGGGAAGGGTATAAATTGCGCTTTTTCCTAGATGTGTCAAATACGGTTCATGCTGTCACATATCTTAGTTACTGTTGAAAAATACTCTGTTCAGAACTACCTTCAAAAAGTGTTTGGAAACTTGATCTGAACCAGGCAGTATACCTCTGTATTACCTGGAACTGAATTCTATTTTATTTTTACTTTTGCATATGATTCAAACTGCTAGTTTTGACTGTTGTGAACCCCCATGTGATTTGCAGCCAGATTATCTGAAAGACTATCTGCTCACTTCTGGGCTTGTTCAGGCATGAACATCTTTAGGAAATTCCTCATCTTCATCTAGAAAAGCTATGTCTAATTCTGAAAAATCCCTAGAACTGGGTACCAAAGCTTGAGTATTGTTAGAAAGTAGTTACTAAAAAGTTACTATTTACTAGTTACTATAACAGTATCTTCTCTAGCACTAGTCTGAGGTTTTGCATCCCAGATATGATAGGCCTAATTCAGAATCTAAGAATACTGTATAGAATAATCTTGGCCTGTGTTTCTAATTTAATTCTAAAGCTCAGGGTTTAAAAACATAACGTTAAATTGCCTTAGTTTTAAAAGGAAATCACAGAGTTAGGAAAAAGTGTAGAAAGTGACTATCTAGAGACTAGTACATTTTACCCAAAAGGAAAAGCTGATATATTGGTTTGAATTAGGATAAAAAAGATGACAACAGAAACCTTCGTTATATGTGAATTATACGTGGTGTAATTAAGAGATGCATTTCATTCTTCATGATGTAAGAATTTGGCATCATTTAATTGAATGGCAGTTTTTTGAATTTCTGGTTGCTTTCTTCTGTGGTATTGGTTTTAGAAGTATTTTGTTTGTTTTGGTTTTTTTAATCTGGGAATTTTTAAGAAGATTTTGCTTCTGGAAGGATTTGGATTCCATCTACTTTAATAGATAGTAGATCTATCTACTATCCATAGAGGTTCCTTCCATAAAGGTGACTGTTTTGGACTCTTATCTTCCTATTAAGTTTTTATCTTATTGAAATAGACTGAGATTGACTATGAGAAAGTTTGCTTTGATAAAGCAGTTTTACATAGTTCCATATGACACTGAAAATGGTTGACCAAATCTAGTTATACATTAGCACAATGTTGCCCAAATTTATACCCTCCATATGGAAGATATAGACTTCAACTCCAGTAAATAGGAGGCTCTGGCAAACCACTTCTGAAACAATTGCCTTGAAAACTGCAAGGACTCGTCCAAGCAGTCACTGGAGTCGGTAATGACTGAGCGCAGATTAAAAAAAAAAAAGCCCAACCAATCTGGACACCATGAAACTGGGGAAAGACTTGTATTAGATTATTTGATTTTGTAATTATTATGTTTACTTTTGTATTAATAATAACTGATTTTGTTTTATCATTACAAAATGATGTGGAACTGTATCGCTTTTACTCCATTCTCCAAGAATTCACAGTGCCCTTTGTTTACATCCTACTTCAGATTATTCCAAAGATCCAAGAGGCAGTGGCAGGAAATTGACATGGGCAAACAACAAATATGGAATTTGCTGAACTGCAAGTCTACAATAAAATCTGTCAATAAAGTTCCACATAACATGATACATTCTTCACCTGTGAATTTTAGCATGAAAAATAAACATCAGTATATGAGAAATTTTCCAGTATTAGAGGGTGAAATCCCTTCACTTTACAGACATATATTTGAAGGAAATGCAAGGAACAGTGAGACATGTATTCAAAGGTAACTCCCTTGTTTGTAGTACTCCTACCTCTTTCTTCTTTCACTTGAACATCAAACTGTTTGGGGGTAATATATTTATTCATTTATTTATTGTATTGATTTATATACTGCCCATCTCACAGTTGCAATTTTGGGCGGCAAACTTGCAGTTTACTTTGAGTAAAACCCCAAAACCCCAAAATGATAACAAATAATAAACAACAAATCTCTCTCTCTCTCTCTCTCTCTCTCTGTATCTGAAGTCATTTTGTATGCTTTAGCTGAGATTGCATTCTTTAACTTGATAGTGCATAATCAAAATTATATATAATCAATAATGTATATATATTAAAATGTTATTTTATTTAGCATACTGATATTCCCACTCATCTAGCAAAGGTACTATGGGTGGCAAACAGAAAAAAAACACAATCAAAATCACAATCCAATACATAAAAAAGGCAAGCAATGTAAGAGATACAATTGCATTTACATCAGAGCTCCATTAGCACCCTGGGCCCATAGCCTTGAGCAATGGCCAGGTTTTCATGGCCTTATGGAAGGCCAGCAGGATTGGGACCATCCATATCTCGGGATGGAGAGGAGGGGAGGCTGTTCCATAAGACAGGTGCAATACAGAGGAGGCATACTTCCTTGGGCCCACCAAGTGACACTGTTCCACCAATGGGACCCAGTGCATGCTGATTCTGCCCAATCTGGTGGGATGGGCAGAAATAATTAGGAAGAGGTGTTCCCACAAGTATCTCACATATTCTTTCCATATTCAAAAGGTTTGCATGGTTTATTAATGATGGATAGATAGGATGGATGGATAAAGATACAGATATGTTTATTGTTTAACCATAGGTTATATAAATTTTTAGGACCATTTTACAATATAAAATGACAAAATTATATCAAGTCAACTCAAAAAAATCAGCAAGAATGCAGTACTAAAATGTAATATTTAAAACCAATAATCTGATACAAAATATTTGGAATGAAGAGAATATAGCAAATATAAAAGAATCATTACATCTTTAAATAGTATATAGGATCTTTTGAGTGTTTCTTTTTCATGTAGGTATTCAGAGCTGTGTGAGAAGGTCAGCAAAGGCAGAACAAAAAATGCAATATTGATTCATACTCAGAAGAAAAAGAAATTGCTTGTTCATGAACGCTTAAAACTGCTTCTTGATGAGGAATCTTTTCTTGAGCTTTCCCCTCTTGCAGGGCTTGATATGCCATATGGTGATGTTCCTGCTGCAGGATGTATCACTGGTAAGTTTTGTATAAGGGGAAATTCAAGGTAAATTTGATCATTATATCCTAATCAGTTCAGATGTGATAGGAATTGGGCTTGCTATCAACAATAACAACAACAAAAGGAAAACAGTGCATATTGAAAGATGCACTGCTGAATACAGAATTAGAGGGGATATCAGTGTGGTATTTTGTTACTGTTTTGACGCATTTTTAGGATTAGTTTTGGTATATCTTATAAAATATTCATAGTTGAACCAAAATTAGCATCAGCTTAATAAATTTATGATTACCGTGATTACCACTTTTCTAATGAAGGTATGATTATAATATATATACTTTTAAAGTAACATTTTATATGATAGTAATTGAAAATTTCTGAAAACCAGCTTGTGTGAATGTATAACTATACTATGGAAGAGAAAGTATTCTCATGTCTAGCTAATTTCTTGCTAGCTCTTCTGCTTAGCTGCACTATGGCCCACTGTATAAGTGACACATGATATTAGCAGTAGAATCTAAGCTACAGGATTGGGAGAATGATATAATTTATAATGAAGCAGGCTGGTGATATTTGTTTATTGGCCACTGAGATCCTAGAAAGTACAGCAGCGATGTAGTGTTATCAGCAGAATGTGCAAGGTTGAAATGTTCAGCCTATTTTGGGATGCTTTGGAGATGGTTTGAGAGGTAAAAGGAATGCAATAAACCATACAAAGATTAAATGTATCCATTTAACCCTGTGTTTGAGCAAAAAAAAAAAAGGAAATTGGATGAAAATTGGCATTTTTACCTCTGAATTTTGGCACTGTGATTTGGGGAGATATTTTGGGAAAGTTAAATGGGACAATGATTGCCTACCTCTTATCACATAATATGTAGTCATATGGTTATGGAGCTGGTAGTAAAGCTGTTCATTTGTAGGCTAATAGAAATGAGATCCTTTTGTGGTATTGCAAAGATCTGTATGCTATTAAATAATCTATTTAACTGATTAATAAGTAAACCAAAGGCTTAATCAGTTAATTGGAATGATTGAACTTATGAACATTAATTTTTGGATATTTTAGAATCTTTGGTTGTTGCAGGAATAACCTAGAATGAATGAATGAATAAGTATTGGGAATTTAAAATGAAAAGCAATTCCAAAATTGTGTCAATTAACACAGAAATATAAATTATAGACTGATCAGTTAAAAACCAAATTATTAATTAAATTGTTCAATTAGTTGGTAGAATTATTATGCTTTGGACAAAGGTAATAATTAAAATTAAAGGAAAGCAAAATAAAATTAGGATACAAATTGAACTTTCAAGATGCTTTGATAATTTGATTTTAATATACAGGTTTTGGAAAAAAAAAGAATTATCTGTCTTGTCTCTGTTTTGTTCCAACACTACCATCATAGCAATGTAGCAAGTATTGAAAATCGAGCTATCTCCTTGGCAGCTCAAGAAATTACAAAAAACTTTCTGGAATGTTCTGTACAATATCTTAATGCTATATATAGTTATAAATTATTTGCACATGCAGAAAGCCTGCTAATACTTCTTTTTATGACAATTCTTTTCACTTTTGTTTAAGGAATTGGAAGAATATCTGGCATCTGGTGTGCTTTCCTAGCAAATGATGCAGTAATAAAAGGTGGAACCATTTATCCTGTTACACTGAAGAAACTATTAAGATCTCAAGAAATAGCAATTAAAAATAAGCTTCCATTTGTCTACTTGGTAGATAGTGGGGGAGCATTCTTGCCACTTCAGGTAAAACGTATACCATGCCATGCCATGCCATGCCATTCAACTCAAAAAAATCAG